CCTCGCTCGGGACTGGGGGTGGGCTGTATGGGTGTGACTGATGCCCAAATCTTGGAAAAAACAAGGCCAAAATTTGGGGAAGTCCCCAAGTGCATTTTCGGTACATGTGCACTCTAATATTTAGATTGCGTGCTATATGGTGACATAATTTGTGAGCTATGGGCATATGAAGTGTAGTTAATTAGCCCCCAAGAAACTGTCCCCATGTATATATTTTTTGACCGTATGTACAAGTATATATGTGTACCCTCTCGACACATGTTTGGCATTAAAAAAAAAAATTATCCCCATCCACCTTCATCATGTTCATATTCGACATGAATTCGCGATAGTAACTTCTCGATCATTTGGTTATTCGACAAATAAAGTTTTGATGTCGGGTAAAATTTATTTGCAAGAAATCTTAAATTTCAATTTAAAGTATTTAAAAAATAAAGAAAGAAAAAAGAAATGCTTTTTACTTGAAGAAGAAATCAAAATGTACGACTTATCCAACGAATACACAATGTTACTTCCGGGAGAAACAAACGATAAACGTTAATCGGTCAGACGGTCGACGGTCAGTAATATTGATATTCAGTAAGTAAACTCAACTGTAATGTTGCTATTAATTCTTAGTGGAATGTGTAATGTTCACTTGAAATGTCATTCTTCAGACTGTTGACATTCTGAATTCTGAATAACTTGATAACATCACATGTGCTTGTGGAAAGGACCCTGTGTTACAACGCGAAATGTAATAACAACGTAATAAACTGGTATTATTGCATTCTGCGTTATTACATTTTGCGTCGATATCAATTTTTTTTTTACATAATTTTCTTTATTTCTTATCTCTTATTTTACTATAAGACTATAAGAGTACTACTATTTTACTTCATTTACATGTTCCTGATCAAAAATCACATTAAAATTATGAGGCAGATGCAAATTCTAACATTCGTTACCCCAACTTAAAGGTGTGAAAAAGAAAATTCCAAAACCTTATTGCACATCTACATGTACATTAGCTGCAGAACTGTAGCATTATGGTTTTATATTTTAGTCTTTGACCATAACACTACAGGTCCCTTTTTAAATAAGGGATCTGTAGCAATACAAATATTGTGCAATTTACGGTGCAAGATTTTCTGCGCACTTTGGGGACGTACATGTAATTCGCCATGTTCCAGCATTGGTAAATTAATGACCTTTCATTCCCTAATTCTAGACATATTCTATAACCAATCTGTGTATTTTATCCACCTCCTAACCCTTTGCAGTCGTCTGTACAGACCAATAATCTCACTTGTTGTGAATTTGTTTTCAGATGGCATAAAATTCACAACAAGCGAGTTTATTGTCTGCAGAGATGACTAGAAAGAGTTAGGAGATGGATTAAATATACATTATGGTTACAGAATATGTCTAGAATTAGGGAATGAAAGGTAGTTAATTGACCAGTGCTGGAAAGTGCCAAATTACATCCCCAAAGTGCGCAGAAAATCTTGCGCTGTAAATTGCACATTCAATATATTTGCATTACGGGATCTGTAGCGTTATGATCAAAGACTAAAATGTAAAACCATTATGCTACAGTTCTGCAGCTACATGTACATACACTCTGAATCATCAAAAGATTAGATGGCTACTTTTGTAAAATTTTGAAAAAATGTATTTTGACACCTAAGTTGAAAATGAAAATTCCAAAACCCTATAACACCGAGCACATCTGCAGGACACCCCCAATCATCTTGCATAGGATGAAATGGCTACTGTGTCAAATGCAAGAGTTCTGGGAAACAGATTTTTTTGAAATGTAAAACATCATTTTTTTCCCATATGGCCACCAAGGTGAAAATGAAAATTCCGAGATCTACAGGACACCATCAATTACCTTCTAAAAGATGTTGTGGGCAAAATGTACAGATGCGTGCCATGTATTAGGAGATCCCAGGGAGTGAGGTTTCTGTTAAAAAAAACAAACATCATTTTTCAACCCTCAGGGTGAAAATGAAAATTCTGAAACTTTATTACACATCAACAGAACACCAACTTTCATATTCCAAAAGATGAGTTGGTTACTGCTTAAATTGTAAGAGAAGTAAGGGGAGATGAAAGTGGGTTTGATAAAAGGGGGTCTATAAATTATGTTTTCAAGTTCAAATTTGACCAATTTTTTTCTACTTTTTTTTTTCTTTACAGAATTTTTTATTTTTTGGAACTCCCTTTTTTAAAATCAGAATATACTTCATCACAATCTTTAATTTCAGACCAGAAATGAATTAAATGTTTGAAATACTAACACAAGAGGTCCATAGTTATGATCACCTGTAAATTTTATACTCAGTTTGATACATATATACACATTTTGTAAGTTATAGAATAAGTTTATGGCTTCTTCACTACCCAGGTACAAGGGAGCTAGTTAAAAGTTAAGATCTAACCATCTTCCCTGAAAGTTTCAAAAAGAGTATATTCAACCGTTTCTTAGAAAACACACAGACAGAATGCCAGTTTAAAAACATATCTTTCTGACAAGTTCAGACTCGTATCTAGAAGATTTGAAAATTTCACCTAGACCTTTCCGAGAAATTTGGATGCACAAAATTGGTAAAATAAAGAATAATAATAGGGAAAAAGAAATAGAACAAAAATCAATAAAGTCTTAATTCCCATGGAGGTGGAAGACCTTTAATAATAAAACATTCACATGTGGTAATGTTTATGTTTAACAGGCCTTTCAATATGTGCAGGTACCCTGTACTTTTATCTGGCTGACATGAATGTACTGGCTAGAATATTCATTGAAGAAAAATTTGATAACATATTTAATTAAAATTGCTTCCACAAGTTATCTCCTATTTTTGAAAAAGTACCGCATGTTTCTAATCTTTTTGAAAGCCCTGTGTTTAATTAATGTTGAATAATTAGAAAACCTTTTCACAATTAGCAATAAAATTTTCATACATTATAAATCAGTTTCTAAATTCTTTTTCCAATGTCAAAAAAAGTCTTCATTGTAATCCCAGGTGTATCATTACAGCAGTATTTTCTCAAATAACTCTTTCTTCCTCTGTAAACATGGTAAAACAAAATATTTACTGGTATGCCCCCGTATCGAAGATTCGGGAGTTTATAGTTTTTGTCCTGTCTGTCTGTCTAGCTGTCTGTTTGTTAGCAAAAACTTTAACATTGCATGCCCATAACTTTTGATTCATTGGAGCTATGACTTTCATATTTCACATGTGTATCAGGGATGGGGTAATGGTAATGTGTAATGGTAATTGACAGTAATTAATTACAAATTTCGATGTAATTGAAAGTAATGTGTAATTGGCCCAATTTTCAATTACATGTAATTGTAATTTTAATTAATTACTTTTGAGAAAAGCATGTAATTCACAATTACTTTTCAATTACATTCATTTACACTTGTGTTTAATAAATGGGAAATAGCCCCCCCTCCCCTTTTTTCAAATCCCAAACACTTTATTCATGAAAGGTTAACTGATTTTTTGGACAAAATGTTCTATAATATATTAAAAAATTATATCATCTTTATTTAGTGAATTGCTGTTTCCTCCTTAAAATGCATTTTCTTCAAAACTTTCTAATATTATTTATCTCCTTGTTTATAAAAATATTAAATAAAATTAATAATTTCAATTAAGATGTTTATGAATTGACACTTAAAATATCTAGTCCAATGGAATATAAATGAACGTTCATGACTATTTATCATTGTTTATTTTTCTATGTTTTTTCTTAATGTAATTTGTAATTTAATTAATTACATTTGCAAAGTAATTGTAATTTAATTAATTACATTTCAAAATCCTTGTAATGGTAATGGTAATTTAATTGAAGGTTTGGGCAAGTAATTGTAATTTAATTAATTACTTTCCTATGTAATTGACCCCATCCCGGATGTGTATTCCTTGTGACAAGACCTTTCTTTGGTACCATCATATTTTACCTTTTGACCTTGGAGTTTGACCCAGTTTTGCAAAACTCTACCGAACTTTAACCTTGGCCATAACTTTTGAACAATTGGTGCTAGAGCTTTCATACTTCACATGTGTAATCCTTGTGACAAGACCTTCCTTTGGATACCATCAACTTTGACCATTTGACCTTGACCTAGGAGTTTGACTACTTTTGAAAAACTTTAACCTTGGCCATAAATTTTGAATGGTTGGTGCTAGGACTTTCATACTTCACATATGTAATCCTTGTGACAAGACTTTCCTTTGGATACCAACAACTTTGACCTCTTGACCTTGGAGTTTGACCTACTTTTGGAGAACTTTAACCTTGTCCCTAACTTTTGAACAGTTGGTGCTAGGGCTTTCATATTTAAGAAGTCTATTTCTTGTAAAATTCCTTCCTTTTGGATACCATCAACTTTGACCCTTTGACCTTGAACTTGGTGTTTGACCTACTTTTGAAAAACTTCAACCTTGGCCATAACTTTTGAATGATTGGTGCTACGGCTTTCATATTTCACATATATATTTCTTGTGAGAAGACCTTTCCTTGGGCACCATTAATTTTGACCATTTGACCTTGACCTTAGAGTTTGACCTACTTTTGGAAAACTTTAACCTTGGCCATAACTTTTGAACAGACGGTGCTAGGGCTTTCATATTTCAAAGGTATATTACTCGAGACAAGACTTTACTTTGGGTACCAATATATTTGATTTGCATTTGATAAAGTTTAACCTTTGCTATAAGTTGCCATACAGGGGCATCAGTGTTTCACAAACACATCTTGTTCTTTAAGGTTTGCAATGCAGTTGCTGCATGTAACCTATATTTTCCAATTATGTGTTAACTAAGGTTAAAATTGATAAAGGTAGTTTAAGGAGGGAAGTTGAATAGAGAAGCTAATGCATGGATATTTCAACTGTCATTCTTGATGATAACTCTTATTCTTGATGAAAGCTACTACTTTTTAATATCCTAATATTTTTATGTGTTTAGGTATGTTTCCTCAGTGACAAATTTATAGGTCTTGGAACATTCAATCGAAAATGGAGAAAACTTTGACAGAGGCAATAATCTTACCAATACAGCCTTCTCAATCTGAAACTGTACACTCTAGTATTGGCCAGTCAGGTGATATATCCCAGAAGTCTACAGATGAAATTCAACACCATGTACAGGAACAGGAAGTTAGTCAGAGTTCAGACAATCCAGAGCCAGTGAAACAGAAACGTAAAAAGAGAGAAAAGTATATTCCTGATGCAGTTCCACTTGAATTACCTCCTTGTAAAATATGTGGTAAAAAGGCTTCTGGGAATCACTATGGGGTCATCAGCTGTGAAGCTTGTAAAGTGAGTGAAGTTGTTTAATACTAGGTACATAACCTCTGATTTTATGAATCTAATACTGTAAAATCATGAATTTTCTTGGGGGTTTAATTTTCATTGTTTTCAAGGTATGAAGAGACCCATGAATTACTGTCCACCACAAACTGTAAAATGTCAATGACGTACTGTATGTGTACTTAAAAAAGCAGGCTTCATATTTTAGCGGCACAGACAACGATACGCTAATTCATGAATACCGCTAAGAAATCATTTATGTATACAATATACGGCACAGGCATGAGTAGCGCTAATTCATGATTGTGCCAACAACTCCATACCCAGTGATTGTGCTAAATTTTGAATACGCCAATTTATGTACACATACAGTATAAAAATTTGGAAATTTCTACAAGGAAATGCAATAGTAAGATTATTTTAAAAAAGTCTTGAGTGCACGTACAGATGAAATTTTATCTGCATCATTGTCTTTTGGACTTTGGAGATAATAAGTGCATGATGATTTGATATTTATTTGACTGCCACTCTGGGAGGGTAGGGGTCCACCTGGCATGAAAATTCTTCATTCATGAAATCAAATCCCAAACCATCCTCAAACCACAAAAATTTGACCCCACAAAAATATGTGATTTTACAGTATATGAAAGTTTTAGTTTATATATTATATACTGGTATATATTATGGCTGTTATTATTAAAGATTTAAGATTCATCCAGTGATTATTAAAATATGAAGTTGTTGAAGCGTCTTTTGGAATTGGGCACTGGATATTATTTCTAAGAAACATTCTTGAAAACATATTTTTAGCTCACCTGAGCCGAAGGTTCAAGTGAGCTTTTCTGATCACATTTTGTCCGGCGTCTGTCTGTCTGTCCGTCTGTCTGTATACTTTTCACATTTTCGACTTCTTCTCAAGAACCACTGGGCCAATTTCAACCAAACTTGCCACAAAGTTTTCTTGGGTGAAGAGGATTCAAGTTTGTTCAAATGAAGGGCCACACCCTCTTTCAAGGGGAGACAATTAGGAATTAGTGAAAAAATAATGACATCATTTAAAAAATCTTCTCTTCTCAAGAACCACTGGGCCAGGAAAGATGAAACTTATATGGAAACATCCTCAGGTAGTGTAGATTCAAGTTTGTTTAAATCATGACCCCCGGGGGTAGGATGGGGCCACAATGGGGGATCAAAGTTTTACATAGAAATATATTGGAAAATATCTTTAAAAATCTTCTTCTTAAGAACAGCAAAGCCATGATTAGTCATATTGATATGGAGGCATTCTCAGGTAGTGTAGATTCAAGTTTGTTCAAATAATGACCCCCAGGGGTTGGTGGAGACAGAACGGCTGATCAAAATTTAACATTGGAATACATAGGAAAATTCTTTAAAACTCTTCTTCTCAAGAACAGCAAAGTCATGATTGGTCATATTTTAATGGAAGCATCCTCAGGTAGTGTAGATTCAAGTTTCTTCAAATCAAGACCCCCGGGATTAGGGTTGGGCCACAATGGGTGATCAAAGTTTTACATAGGAGTATACATGTACAGGAAATAACTTTAAAAATCTTCTTCTCAAGAACAGCAAAGCCATGATTAGTCATATTTATATGGAAGCATCCTCAGGTAGTGTAGATTCAAGTTTGTTCAAATAATGACCCCCAGGGATAGGGTGGGGCCAGAACAGGTGATCAAAGTTTACCATAGGAATACATAGGAAAATTCTTTAAAACTCTTCTTCTCAAGAACAGCAAAGTCATGATTGGTCATATTTTAATGGAAGTATCCTCAGGTAGTGTAGATTCAAGTTTGTTCAAATCATGACCCCTGGGGGTAGGGTGGGGCCATAATGGGGGGGGGGGTTCAAAGTTTTACATAGAATATATAGGAAAAAATCTTTTTCTCAAGAACAGAAAAGCCATGATTAGTCATATTGATATGGAGGCATCCTCAGGTAGTGTAGAATCAAATTTTTCAAATGAGGCCCCTGAGGGGTAGATTGGGACCACAATGGGGGATCAAAATTTTACATAAATTAATATATAGGAAAAAATCTTCTGCTCAAGAACAGCAAAGCCATTTGTTATATTGATATAGAAGCATCATCAGGTAGTTTAAAATTCAAGTCCCCCTACTTCCCCCCCCCCCCTTGTAAACTTTTCAATACTGAACTGATTTTTGCTATTTTCCTAGCCAGTGTGCTCAGGTGAGTGATGTGGCCCATGGGCCTCTTGTTTTAAGTTTGTGCTACACCTGGTCTATTAGGGTTATAATAAAGAAACTAATTGTTTCCCATGTACACAGTTTTCTCAGGGCACTTGCCACTAAGTAAACAGTGTCAGGTAAGGGATACAGGTAATTAAGAGACAATAATTGTTTAGATAAATGAATGAAAACTAAATCATGATAATTAGCAAGTCAAAAAAAACTTGCTTTCGATGCTGATGGATTTTCGCGGCACCCCCCTACCCTACACGGTCATTGAGAATGGAAGTGAGATACAGCCATGATTAGTAAAATTGATACAGAAGCATCCTCAGGTTGTGTAGATTCAAGTTAATTCACATCATGACCCCCAGGGGTAGGGTGGGGCCACAACAGGGAATCATCAATCTGATGACCAGCAAAGCCATGATCAGTCATATTGATACAGAAGCATCCTCATATTTATGTAGATTCAAATTTGCTCAAATCATGACACTAGGGGTTAGGGTGGTGCAACATTAGGCAGTCAAAGTTATACATAGGAATATAAGGGAAAAAAATCTTTAGAAATTTTCTCAAGATCAGCAAAGCCAAATATGGAAGCAAATTTGTTCAAATCATCAGTAAGGGTTAGGTTTGGACCACATAAAGGGGCCTGGGCACAGATTGCATTGCCGTTTTGTTTACAATTTTAAATTTTTAGGTCACATGAGTCACTCAGGTGACCTATTACTATCTGTTTTTGTCTGTCATCTTTTGAAACCGCTCAACCAATTTCAACCAATTTTTAGCTCACCTCAATGAAGTTGGGGGAGCTTATGTAATACCCTCAGCATCGGCGTCCCAGGTTAAAGTTTTTGGAGCAGTTTTCTTCTCAAGTACTTCTATGCCCTGAATTAATCAGAGATGCATGGAGGATGCTTCTAGTGTGTTTCTTTGTACCAGTCAAGGTTTCAGATGCTGCAATTTCAGCTAAAGAATGACCAGATTAATGTTTTTGGAGCTGGTTAAATAGGGGTGCAAAGATACACTAACCACACAATACGATATGTATCACGGTATTCAGTTCACGATACGATACGTATCACGATACATGACAAGGTTAAAAAGTCTTTCAAGTTTGTCATAATATTTTTTTTAAACTTGATAGGGTTATATCAATTGTTCATATTTTTGATAATAATTAAAATATCATTTTGTTAACTTGAACTAGATTGATAGGTAGATCTTTGAGTTGTGACAATATTCTAAACCAGTGATGAACATTTACAGGGAACTACGGGGACCTTTCCTAATAATCTTCCTTTTAAATTGGAAGGAAAAAGGAAGACATTCATTCTTTTATTCCTTTTATTTATGTAGAAAACCAGTTGTCATATTTCTTGTGTTAACACGTTTTAGTCAACAAGACAGTGAATTTTCATTGAAATACACGTTTTAGTCAACAAGACAGTGAATTTTCATTGAAATACACGCATGAAGAAATATCGTGTATTACCAAAGAATATGTTTAGATCTAAAGGGTTTATCATTTGTCTTAACATCTATAACTTTTAATCAGATAAAGTCCTTCTCCGTGTTAAATCTGAGGTCTGTAAGATGCTGGAGATGAGTTTAACTGCCGTTAATGCATTATGTCGACCTCACTTTTTGCGTGGAAGCCATTTTGAAATTGTAAACAAGGAAACAAAACGGACGATTCAGATAATTCTGGACCAATTGAACTGAACCATGGTATCAGTTTAGTGTATCATGAATTGAACCGTGGAAAAAAATACCGCGATATACTGTCAAACAGTTTATTGTTGCACTCTTAAGGTTAAAGTTTTTGGAGCAGGTTAAAGTTTTTGGAGCATATCCCATTTCCAAGTAACTATAAGCCCTATGTTGACCAAACTTGCATGGATGATACATCTAAGGATGCACACTACTGGACCTGCTTCAGATGCTGGATCTGACCTACATTTTCCGGATGAGTGACCAGGTTATAGTTTTTGGAGCAGATCTCATTTCCAAGTAACTATAAGCCCTATATTGACCAAATTTGCATGGATGATACACCTAAGGATGCACACTACTGGACTTGCTTCGGATGCTGGATCTAATCTATATTTTCCGGATGAGTGACCAGGTTAAAGTTTTTGGAGCAGATCTCATTTCCAAGTAACTATAAGGCCTATCTGAACCAAACTTCCATGGATGATGCATCAAGGGATGAACACTCTCAAACTTGCTTCAGATGCTGGATTTGACTTACATTTTCTGGATCAGTGACTTGTTTAAAGTTTTTAGATAAGTCCATTCCCAAGTAACTACAAGCCATATCAGAACAAAATTGCATAAATGTTGCATCTAGGAATGCACACTACTAGATTATTAGCTTAGTGTGGGACTGGGATTTTGCCTTACTTAAAGACGACATTCGTTGAGGTGAGCTCTGTAATATCTGATTACCTATGTTTGCATAAAGCATCTATGGGTAAAGGGGAACAAAAAATGTGAATTTCATGGTCCCTGCCCCCCCCCCCCCCCCCCGGGGGTCCTTAGGGGTGGGGCTAAACCACCAAAATTAATGCAATCTTTAAAAATCTTCTTTACTCATGGACATCAAGCAGTCAAACTGTTGGCATGATTGTAATAAGCATTGAGCCCTCTAACAAAATTGTGAAATTCATGGCCCCAGGGTCAGGGGTTCTGGTGCTAGGGCGGGGCTATATAGATGATATAGTGAAAGTGCATTATTTCTTTGAAAATCTTCTTCTCTGCTCCTGGGTATTAAACAAACTACATAGTTATGATGAG